CACGTGACACATTCCCCTTCCAGTAACCACAGCAACCTGCACTGGTCCAGCCTGTATCTTGCTGTTATGAGAAGAGGAGGAAGAGAGAAAGAAAAAGCCCAAAATAAACACACTTCCCAGCAGCTGTCAGAGATCGCAGTAAGTGCCGTTCACTTGGCTTCTTTGCTTTGACTGCGTACTGCTTAGTGTGCATGCTGGTGAATAAATAAGAGGCATCCTTACTGGCTGCTTTGTTGCGGTGGATGACATCATTACATATGAATTTAAATATGAGATGCTGCAAGTGCTAGTGTGCGATGCTAGTTAAACAGGGCTGCAAATGTAGATGATTGTCAGAGAGACAGCTGGAATATTACGGGTGGATCCCTGCGACTGTGTTTTCATAACCTGGGATGAAGTCTCAGTGGGATGCATGCTTCCCATTCGCTTTTTATAACACCTCTCTGCCAGCACGGTTTCTACGGTCGTGATGGAGGAACTGGGCCTTGTGTGCTCCGTTTAATTAGCAAACCTACTGTGCCAATACAAGCACGATTCTGGGTCGCCCTGTTCTGCTGTAGAGCATCCATATGTGGAACGTCCTTGTGGTGCTGGAGGAGGATACAATGTTATTATAATGCAGAGAGATCTGGTTTGATGCATGCAGCATCAGTATACTGTATGAGAATCTGATTATAAAAACATGAAGAATGAAACTTAAGATATTATATTGCATTTAGGTACACAGGATACGGGGTAGGTACATAATCCAATAAAATCAGAAGGTATATTACAACAAATGAATGTTTGTATGATCAATGCATAATTCAATTAATTTTGTAAATCATTGTAAATCATTTGCGTTTGATGTAATTTTGCAAAAAGTAACCGTAATGTACTGAGAATTGAGAGGTTTTTATGGAATAATTTCTGCTAACTCTCGCTAGAGCTGACAATATTCCTAATATTGACAAATTACTTTTTAAATGACTAATAAAAAATGTAAATAGTTTGTGGTTCTGCTATTAAATTTATGTTGATTCATTTATATTATTTAAATAATTTATATTAATTTACTAATACAATGACAAACTATTGGAATAATTTAAATACTATTCTTAAATATTTTACATTTATTTTAAAATATTTTTAACAATGTATCATAATAATAATTAATTTATGAAGGTTAATATTCTTGAAACCTTGTATTACGAGCACGTCCTGTGTTTATTTTCTTCTTTATGATGAATCGCTTGTTGTATTCCTCAATTGTAAGTCGCTTTGGATAAGAGCATCTGCTACATGAATAAATTTAAATGTAGTATTATAATATTTTTTTGTTTTTATAGAATGCAGAAATTTGTTCATACAATAATGGCAAACAAGCTTATTACATGGTTCAAAAATATAAAAAAGCATGAGCATAATACTTTTTTTTTTTGTGCTATGACCTGGATGTTTTTTTGGTTCACCCATATATGAAAGATACAAATACAAGGTCAAAGCATGAACATGTAAGGTCACAGGTTTTATATACAGTATGTTTGGAGAAGAATGCATATGCATTCTGATGTCAGTCATTTCACATACACCTTGTCATATTTTAATATTTCACCTTCACAACATTGAAAGGAGTTATTGTCTCCTAAGATAGTATCAGATGTCAAGTTGTGTCTTGATACTGCTTGTTGTAGACCTAAATGATTTCAAACGCTACTTTATCATGGTAATGTAATGGGATATGATTGATAACAGTAACCGTAATGTTTGATGTCCTGTTCTATTGACTTTTCATTAGAATTGTTTGTTTTGTACTCCTCAGTAAATCACATAAAGACTACAGCTCTACTGTTGCATCTGTAAATCTTGGAGCAGCTGTTGGTCCATCGTTTCATAGAGACAGCCTTTGTTTTGGGTTATGTTGGGCTTCTTTGTTTTACAGGAACACAGGCATTTCTTTGTGGAATGCAGTATTTAGATTCTCTTCCGTAAATTATTTTCTTTGTGTATCACCAAACAGGTGTAGACTGTCATCGAGTCATCAGATAAATTATGTGTTTAGTCTGAGAAGCCTAGCCTTTAACTTGCTAATACTTCATTTAGATTTTAGGTTGAAAGCCCTCAAATTATCCCTCTACGAGCAATAATGACCTAATTAGTGCTGACGAAAGTATCACTATTACTAGTACTCATCCTTAGGGTTTGGGATTTGAGCAAACCACTAACCTCATTTATTAATTTTTGGAACGTAACTCGTCCCTGCATTGTTTGTGCTGTAGATATGAATTTCTAGGTGAAAACCTGCAAAATGTAATAGACTTACACTGAAGGAGGGTTTAGAGACTTGTTTGTTTCGACTTGGGCCAGTAAGTAAGCAGCCCCTCAGAACACCCTATTGTAAACACATATCAATGTCTTATAGCGATCTATTTTTGTACAAGTAAGCATCATCCTATGATAAAAAGTTAGATCTAAATAAAATCTAGTCTAAATCCTGTAGTGTAATGCATTTTAGAGGAGCACCACAGGAATGTGCTAAGGATTCTAGAGAAAATGCTGCTATCTTTCCAACTGACTTCACTTCCAAAGAATGTTCTTTTCACATTAGTTAAGCTGTGAAATCTGGCTGGGATCTGAGAGCACTCTTTAAATCAATCTAGAAAAGGAGAAATACTTCAATTTAATTGGGACAATTTAAGTATGATTGTAAATCTATCACTTTGGAGTTAGAAACTGTGTTAATATTGAAGGTGTGCGGCTTCAGATTAGTGAACAGGACTAATATATTATGGAGATGGTAAATGTACTGTATGTACAGCGTTCAAAGTTTTTTTTTTTTTTTTGAAAGATGTCTCTTATGCTCACCAAGGCTGCATTTATTTGATAAAAAAACAGTAAAAAAACAGTAATATTCTGAACTATTATTTCAATTTAAACAAACTGTTTTCTATGCCAATAGATTATCAAATGAAATTTATTCCTGTGATGCAAATCTGAATTTTCAGCATTATTACTCCAGTCCTCTGTGTCACACGATCCTTCAGAATCATATATGCTAACACTTATTATTAAACACTAGTTATCAAACTGTAATAATACATTATACATTATTAAATTATGTTGCATAAATGTGTGTAGAGTATATATATATATATATATATATATATATATATGTGTGTGTGTGTGTGTG